TGTTCCCCTGAATGTACACTATCTACGGTTCATTCCACTTTTTACCACTTTTTGTCGAAGTCGAAATATCGTAGTTCCAAACTATGTTAGGTTTTGGAGGTATTTCGAGGTTTTCATCCTCACGAAACAATCTTTTCCATGATATAATACCATATTCAGAATCAGCGTGAAAAAGCGCATCGAATGGTGTATAACTCATCTAGTTTCGGTTGCTCGGTTTTGAATTCTTGAAATTTCTTAGTTTTTGAGATTCACACAAACAATTTCGTGCTGAAAATTTGAATTTCAAGATAAAGTAACCTGAACGGCTCGAAACATGTTTCTTATAGATTTTCGACAATGCTCTTTCCAGTGACATCATTTTTAAATATTGAGAAAGTTTTCTGAAGGGTTTTCTAGAGACTGGATCTCTGGAAAACTCCTTAGAAAACTTTTTTAAAGCCAAACTCTCATGCCATTAGAAAGAGGATCATGAAAAACCTATAAAAAAATGGTTCATGAAATTTTAGTTCACTCATAGAGCTAAAGTCCGCCTGCTCTAGCAAAAAATGCCCACTGTGGCTGCTAGACAAAAAGAGGTGTGTGCGTACACAGCTTTGTACACAAGGCGAACTCTCGATCAAGCTATAATTACAGTTAATTGGACCCAACTTTTTCTGAGCGCAGTTCAAAGGTCTGCCGAGTGCCTAGGAATGTTCTCCTGTTCATTCTGCATGTAATCATGTATGTGTCGATGGAATTCAAGTAGGGTCATTCCATCAAATAATCGCCTCCATCGTTTCATATCTACTTAACGAAAAGTTCGGGAAGCGTACAAATTTGGATGTATAGGTTTTCGACCATGCTGTACAAGATGAGGCTACTTAGAAAAATCTGAAATAGTCCTTGAGCACGCTTCTGTGAGAAACAGTCGTCTTTCTCGTGCAATGACTCCCAAGCTGCTGAAATGGTCCACTTCTTTAGAAGAAAACTTTTTTAGAAAATGAAATGCTAGAATTTATGCACTTAAACGGTTTCGTACTGCACCATGCCTTTTACAAACCTAAAAGGGTTCAGAAATGGTTGCACTTCTCTATATCCTTTTAAGTTTCCTAAAAAACCTTTTGTTTCAAGAGAGTTCCTGTAGCTAATAGAGTCATAGAGCTAATAGAGCTACATGAATAGTCTTCTGATTTGCATTCTTCACTAGCCGCATCATCATGGTGTCAGTTGATGGTGACCTCATAGCTGGCACATGAGGTTTGCTCTAATGAAAATGAAGTATAATCTGGTGGCATGTAACATTTAAGGAGTACTTGAATAAACTCAAAGTGAAGGCTGATATGGTGCTACGGAACATCTAGCAAATATATGAATAGTCTCCTGTTTTGCATTCTACACCAGCTGCCTCATCATTTGATTCAGTTGTTCGTAACCTGGTTTACATTCTTCGCTAGCTACATGACAATTAAGTCAGCTGTTTCTCACTTCGTCGTCGTCATGTGAACATTGCTAGGACGAAACTATGGTGTGATATGGTGGCATGCAACATGTAAGAGATAAATGAACAGTCAAGAAATTCGACCTTCTGGAAAAAACACAGTTTTCAATTCATACAAATATCTTACTTTATGGAAAGATAGCTTAGACTATCATTTCCAGAAAGCTAACCTTCATGTGACAAAATAAAAGTGCTCTTTGCTTAAGTGTATTTAATGCTATTCTCACACTTATATCTCTCTTACTTCTTAAGCTAGAACCTTTATTTTTATACAGTAAGTACACTTTTAAGTGCTCTTTAAAATGACAATTTATTTGTTGAAGTTGCTCAAGTAATTGTAAAGATATACTTAAACTACTTGACATGCTTACTTTTTGAATCTTGCCTAAATTTTTGAGCCTAGGAAGAAACCAGCACGCTTGTGTTATAAGTTCAACTTATTCAGAATTCAATTCTCTATCGACCTAGACTATTATTAGAAAAAATTGCGTTTCAAAAAGTTTTCTAAAGAGCCCGTTTTATAAAAAGTCCTTTCGAGGATTTTTGGAGATCATGAAGTGGATATCTTTAGACCTCATTTTAGTTCAAATAAAAAATTGCTCAAGTAATTGCAAAGATATACGATAGGAAATTGCCGCGAACTTTTTCTCATACCTTATTTTGTCTAATTAAAATCTGTTGATCAATGTCGATCCGTTGAGGCTTGAGCGTGCTCAGTTTTGACAGATAAAATTTTCTCTTCAATTTTCTTAGGAAGAAAATAAAGTAGAAATAAAAAATTTTGAGCTTCAAATTCATCGAAAATTTAGATAAATTGCATTCCTTTCAAAATTTGTCCACGAAAATGAATAAGATGCTCCGCTTAGGGTATGAAAAGCATGATTCTGAACAACTTTGCCGGCGAAAGTTCTTCTTCAAAAGGCCCCGTTGTTTTAAAAATGTGTGCATAAGTTTCGAAAAATTGGTTGGAACTAAAACTACAACACAATGATAAACATTTATTTTCTTAGAGTAAATTGATTCGATTTTCATAAAAACTTGCAGATATGTGTAACTGAAAGTGGTTTATCGAACTGCATAAGAATCAAAGTTCCAGCTTTATTTATAAGTTTTTTGAAAAGGAGATCAAAATTGCAAGAAATCAGTAAAAAGATTATTTTCTCAGCAATTATGAGTGCGCTCAAAGAAAAACTTTAGGGTATACACGGCTTGATGCGGGCTACAAAGTAACGAAAAAAACTGGAAGTGGTTTGTCCTCCTTCTACCCTCCTTCAAGATCAATGAAAGGATCCACAGTTGTGTAAGTATGATTAATTTACAGGGAGGAGTACTAACTTTTGTATGACATAATAATTTTTCAGACAAAAAATTAGAACGAACGGTAATACGTGATGGTAGTATGAGAAATTTTTCAACGAAGAAACATAGACTAAAACAGAAATGTTCACACTTCCGTGCGTGATAAAACTAATTTTGTTTTATTTAACTGTCATTTATAGTAAGAATAACACGATCAACAGTCAACTTCTTTTTATAATAGCAACAGTAAAATTACTTTCATCTTTTCTATGGGTAATTGATCTACTGTGCACGCAAGTGTCGGTTGCAGCAACGTTACAATATCGAGGTTGCGGCAACGCCAAAAAATCCGTCCTATGTATTTCACATGGCTCAAGAAGAACAGGACAACGTGCACGCAAGTGTCACAGACGTATAGTTTTGATGTAGTAATCCTAAAAGAATACTGTTTCTAATATTTTTTTTAAGCATAATACTAATTCCTAAACATCAGAACGATTTCTTTTCTCATTTCATATGACACAGATTTTGTTCAAGGTTTACTTGTATTGCTTTTTATTAGTTACTTCATCATATAAAAGTCTGGAGCCGGAGAAACGAAACAATTTTTTCAATTTTGACCGCTATTTTTCATATCTACAGTTATGTCATTATCAGTCAGAACTACACTTTCTTCGACATGTGTAAATGTTTCTGATTTTGATACTATTATGATCATCTCCTCACAGGGATCGCGTGTAAGTCAGCCGTACTCATGTTTTCCATTATTGTCAAGGTAGTGTTTTCAAACTACCATGACTTATTATTGTCACAAAAATGTTTGTGATATTGGCCAGCTGCTTCACCTTCTGGCTTAGGACCCAGATTTTGTTATTCCAGATGAAATTAAAACTAACAGAATTTAAAAATGCCTAAGCGCCCAGTAATTTGTTTATGGATTTTCAATACTTTTATTTAGACTACATAAGTGTTGAACATCAAAGATTACTAACCGTTATTATTTTTCGATATATACAAACACAAGATTCGATATCAAGTATTATCGGATAGTGGGGCTTTAATGCACTTCATAAAACGAAACGTAGCTTGCAAAATGGCATATCCAGCAAATGGTAAAGGTGGTGGTAAGCGTAATCATAGTTGTTTCGAATGGACAAAGCTGGGCTTATCGACACTGGTTCCATTGATGATTGGTATATTTACTGTTGTTAGTTATATTCAACAACAACATATTTCTGAACAACAGCGACATCAAGATCAAGAAGTTGCAAATGATATACGTTTACAAGAGCGACAAATTGCTGATGCATTACGTGCACACAGTCAGGAACAAGCCCATGCCTTGCATTATCAAGATGTTTATAAAACCTATTTAGCAGATGTATCAAATGCATTATTCAAAGAAAATCATGAGGGAAAATTTCTTAATAATGAATCAAAATTCTCGTATATCCGTTCGAGAACATTATCAGTACTTCTAGAACTTGATTCAAAACGACAGACAGACTTATTTTTATTTCTATATGAAACACGATTAACAACAAAAAATCAGCTAAGTTTGTCAGGTGCTCTATTCAATCAAATACATTTCAATACTTCATCAGTTGTTCCATGTATCTTTAATGATTTAAAGTTATCCTCTGTTTATTTGTCAAATTCATCATTTACTGGTTGCAAATTTTATCAGGCAACTTTTACTGCTTCGCGAATGACTGATATTAAATTCACCGGTTCATCATTAACGACAAATCATAAAACTGAATGCTTTAGAGCGTGTGATATGGCTCCTTATCTTCCGAAGCCAAGTTGTCCTTCACATATTGGGATAAAAACAGATTTTAGTGATTGTGTAATGGAACGGGCTGACTTTCGACAAGCCTTCATCTGTTTGACGTCATTTCATGGAGCAACACTCGACTATGCTACGTTTCTTGGAGCTTCTATTGAAAGTAGTAGGTTCGTTAATGCATCACTCAATTACGCCAGATTCATTGGAGCTACGATTACGAAGAGTGATTTTGCTGCTGCATCACTAACGTATGCTGACTTTAGCGGAGCATCTATCAGTCATAATGCATTCAAAGGTGTATTATTGGCGTATGCCAATTTCAGTAATGTCACCTTCGATGCTGATGTGATGTTTATTAATGCTAATCTTACCAATATGATTATCAAAGATGATCTTTTACAGGATCTGAATAATCGTGGAATGTTACGCAATGTAATATTACCAAACGGTACTACATTTTTCACGCAAGGAAATTTATTTGTGAATGGTGATGCCCAGAAAGATGTATGTTTCTTTTTGTCATGATATACTTTTTACACGCAATTTCTGAAAAGAAAATAACGCGTAAGTACAGTACGGAGAATACAATGAGTTACGTTAGTGACCGTCCATAACTTGAGACCTTACCTTAGTAAGAAGGTAACGTGTTGATGTCTGTGTTACTCTTTAGCGACCACCACGATCATAGAGCTCGCGTCTCCAGCGAACGACTAAATAGCTGCTGTGTCAGTGCCGGCTAGTAGAGAACGTGACGTCCAACAGTCGATCGTTGATTACTAGACTATACCTAGTGTCTGCTGAGCGGAGCGTCATAGAAGATAGTTGGACACAATTTTTATGAAAAAGCCATAACGACTGAAGTTTTATTACCTACCACTAATTACGTCTGACAAACGTTTTTGTTCCTGTAACACAAAAGGAATCGAAGCCCACAGACTCACATAGCATTTGTGTCTTCGGTTCGAAAGTGAACAACAGATCTCAGATGATAACTATTTCATATTTCAAATACACATCGAGCAATTGTGTGGTTACTTTTCTTCTCCTGTTTAGTGTCCGAGTGGTAGTTCAAGCATATCAGACTGGTCTACGATATCAGGCGATATTGCAGTTGGAGGTAATTCAGATAATTGTTACTTCTTTTCTACTAGTGGCACTGAATCATCTATGCAGCAAGCGTTTGAAGTGGATGATTTTTCTATGTTAGTTACTAGTAATCAAGCTTTACTCAATATATCGGCTTATTTTGATGAACAGTGTTCCAGGAAAGATGTTACAGTCATGTTATTTTTCTCAACAACAATGGGTTTAGCAACGGGGCCAAACTCGATTATTAGTTGGGTTATGCTCGGTAAGTCTATCTAGTAGAAACTGCGTTGGTGGGAATAAATGAGCCAGTTTTTTGTGCCGTTTTAGAATCAGGTCCTAATGAAAAAACACTCAACAGCATTTCTGGAACTGGTGATCTTTCGTTTACAAAAATTATACCGAATAAAACTAAATTTCTGATTGTTGAAGTGAAGTTCTGGAATGATAGTAGAAATGTTCTTGTGATAATATTGATGTGCGTATTACTGCTGAAAAACGTAAATGACGTTACCAGTCATCGTGTTCTGGCAGTTTACAACACGACCTTGTGTTATTATAATCTGTAGTATCAATTTTAGTTTGTCTTCTTTTTATGAGCTATGAGAACCAAATCCAATTAACTAAACTCTCCTTTGCATTTGTCTAATACTATGCTTCATTTAGTCTGTGCATAAATAACGGTAATTTGTTCAATAAATAAGAGACTGAATTAATTTTAAAGGATGGTAGAAAGAAAAAACAGAAAGAGAAAAGACATGAAGTAGGTATATACAATGGTTCATAGCACATAATGGATGCCACATTATTCGATAGTTAGAAAACTAGGCACTACAATGAGACACAAAAATCAGAAGAATAAGATTGAGCAAACCCTCAGCTTGTCACACTCTCCCAATTCTTCGTCTATAGATTTGTATTACAATTCTATCCTCAAACAAAGCTACTGTCGGATAGATACAGATTACAAAGAAGCAGCATTTGGTTACACATCTATAGCATTACAGAAAGTGCCCTATGAACAACGATGTGAACAAGAAAGGGTCTATAAGCAACAGCGGAAGAAACGAATATTCGGTAGAAGACGAGGCAAATGATTTTGTACCGACACTCTTAATGAAATACAGATGTCTCCAAATTAGCCACATATGCTTGAGAAAGAAAGAGTTAAATATTGATAACAAGGTCGTAGAAATGCAGTTTAAGAGAGAAGACTAAGGCAATGAGAAAAAAGTTGAAGTTCTCAGGTTTGTTTGTCAATAACATCCTTCTACATTCGTATTGATTCTACTTCTTATTGATGATTCTAACGCAAAACGCGGAGGACGAGTAAGACTTAGGTATGCCTCATAATAAATACTAATTACTCCTTCAACATTAATTGCGAGTTCATCAGGATATTCTGATGGACATTCTTATAAAGAATCATCATCGGGAATATTCGATATGATTATTGGACTACTCTTTGTGCTTGGTCCATACTTCTGTGTATTAGACTGGGAAATCTTTCGACGTCATCTGAATGAACGACGATATTATGTTGATATTAAATCATCGATATTTTATCAAGAGTGTCGATAAAAAATCCTTTTCCTCATTCCGCGTGATATCGGTGATAGCCACTGCTATCAAAGCCTTAAATAACTGCGGGAGCTATACAGTTTATGATTGATAACTGTGAGAACTGGAAAAGTGCATATTAAATACATACACGATGATTGAGAACAGTGAGAATTGGAGAACTGCCAGAGGAGGTGTCAAGTACATAGGCTGTTATTGGGAACTGTGTGAACTGCAGAACTGGAGAACTGTAAGAGTGCATATTACATTTATATACTATTATTGAGAACTGTGAGAACTGCAGACATAGAGAACTGGACAACCATTAGACAGCATATTACATACATACAGTATTATTATTGAGAACTGTAGGAACTGCAGAACTGGAGAACTGTAAGAGTGCATATTACATTTATATACTATTATTGAGAACTGTGAGAACTGGAGTTCTCTAGTTCTCAATAATAGTATATGTATGTAACATGCACTCCAACAGTTCGGCAGTTCTGCAGTTCCTACAGTTCTCAATAATAATACTGTATGTATGTAATATGCTGTCTAATGGTTGTCCAGTTCTCTATGTCTGCAGTTCTCACAGTTCTCAATAAGCCATCGCCACTGACAGTTAAGCCGGTTGCACCCGTATTTTTTAGAGGTTGATTCACAGCGTTTTTCGTTGATTCTTTACTGGCTTCTATTCATTAATAAATAATTTTTAATATCCATCTAATTCACTATGATGATCTTCATCAATTGGTGGTGCAAGGTTGATAAAGCCGTATAATTTGCATAATACAACTTGGCCAATACCGGTAAGGTCAGCATCTAAAAAGGGAAATGCATCATCAATATTCATCTGAATAAGATAACTATTTTCTGTCGATTTTTGCCTAATTGTGCTCTAATATTTATATCACGATGTTTTGAATCTGAACGTTGTTTGGAAGTATTTATTTTAGTTATATGGCCACGTTGACATATTAATTCATTTGAAAATTAATCTGCAAGCAAAGATTTTTCTTAGACCACCGAACCCGACAATTTGATCTCTTTGTAAGCTATTCGCCACGTTTTTCTTCGATTCGAAGTATGCACTTTACTTATTTCTTTGATATGTATTTTGTTCAAAATTTCAATACGATATACAAAAAATTGTCTCTCTATTTGTCTTGGCTGAACACGAATGTCTTCCAATGGAAATGAGAGTTTTTACTACGAAGTTAGGATTCTAAGATACAAAGATACAACGTTGCCATGTTTTCATTCATAGATAATTTAGACAAATTGTTTTGCAAAAAAAAGGCTTGAATGTGCTGTGATCCTTAGAAAAAATATTTCATTCTCCATGAAATTCTTTGTTAATTTTTGTTGTAATTTCTTGGATTTAATGCATCTAGCACTTGATTGAGATCACCGTTTTTTGCCTTGATTAATTCTGCTAATACACCATTTGTGTTCATAAAACCCATTGCAGTCATACGTTCGACACATTCATCTATCTTTTTCTTTTCGCGTGCCTCTTCATCGGCTTCGTTAGTTGCCGGAGCGGTTTGGTTTTTCATCATTGTAGTAAACATGGATGCTAGTTGTTCCCATGGTGAAACGTTGGCAGATGCACCGGTTGTTGTGGTAGATGATGGTTGTGAAGATGGCGGGTTTGTTTTTGGTTCTGTGCACGTCGATGCTGAAGAACATGCTGCACCGGCTTCTTCTAGTTTTGCCGTTTCTGGATTCGTATCATTTGTAGTTGTTGTCGACATTTTCGGATCAACTCCAAATGATGAAAGATTTTCTTGTAAAAAGCGGCCAACATGTTCCAAAATATTTTGTCCATTGACGGCACCATCCTCTTTTCGTAATTATTCCAAAAATTGTTTCACGTTTTCTGTTTGCAGCGATGATGGTAAATATTGTTGAATTAAATCTGCAGTTTCTGAACCTTTGCATTGATTTAACAAATCTTCGACATTCAAATCACCTTGTTGTTGGTCCAGAGTGACCAGTTTTACTTCCAAATCGGTGACCACCGAGATAGGGACAATGACGTGACCATGGTTTTATCAATATTAACATATTATGTTCTGAATGTAAACCTTTGCTCATACATGTTTCACATAAGTCATAGTCGGGACATTCAACACATTTATAACGAATACCATACACATGACCCTGACATCCATCACATATAACACCAGCATGATGAATATTTTCGTCACCTTTTCGCTGTTGCTGTTTTGATTTAACAAATATTTTTATTAAGCCATCATTATTCACACTAATAGCGGATCGTAATTCATCATTAGATGAAAATGTTATACGATCTTTATCTTCGTCGATGTATTGAAGTGTAAATTGACCATTGACATAATCCGAATTCAGTTGAGCAATTTTTGCTTCTAATTCCTGATAAATATTTCTACCAGATGCAATATCAATCTAAAATAAGAACAAATATATTATGTACGTACTATCGTTATACATTGAGCACTTACTGTAAATCGTCGAATTTCGGGATGAGTTTGGTTTAAATCATCATAATAAGCTTTAACAATTAATGCAGTTTGTTGTTTTTAACATCAACATGTTAATAATTGTTTTTTCTCTTCTTTCTAAATACCAGCACTTTTATACATAATCTATTCTTCTTTCCACATCAAAAGAAAACAAACGCAAGCACTCACAAC